ATTAATATCAGGTAAAATTGAAAATATTTTAGCTTGGTTAGGCAATTTTATAAATAAAAATATATGGGTCATATAAGTGTAATAAAAATCATAGTTGATGGTAAGGGGTGCAAATTCCTTAATTTATTGATGTTTTCTATGACTATTAATTGTAGAGATTAATTTATTTAAGAACAAGGAAAAAAGAAAAGTAAGCACAGTCCTAGTTAAATTATTTGGGCCCCATAAGTCTTGTAATATGGACTGGACAGTGGCCCAGTTCACTGGTTGACTTCAGATCCAACCAAGACTACTTGGGTCCAGCACACAAATAACTCTTTGCAACAGAGTTTATAAAATCTAATTGAATAATAATAATCAGAATTTAACAAAGGAAACAGGTCAAGACATTTTGACTTGCTTTATTAGAATTTTTGATTAATTGGAGTCAAAAGTTATTGACTATTTTCACCGTCACTTTCACCGTCAAAATTTACTTTTCTCTACACAATTAAGGGTAAAAAGTACCCAACATGTGGGGGCCCCAAACCTATTATTTTTATCTTCTACTAATGGACACATTTTAATATGCTATCCGCTTATGTGATATGCATACATTGGTGATGTATGTTTTTTAACCTATTAATATTACCAATGTGTGCATGCTACATCAACGATGGACATATTAACATGTGTCTCACCAGCGATGGACATATTACCAATATGTGCATGCTACATCAGCGTGAACAGTTTTTACTCTATTCAATATCTTTGCAAATTGTGCTGTGCTTTTCAAGGAAGGCAAGGTAGCTAAAATGACAACCGACTACATTAAATAAATAATATATTACACTATCAAGTTCCCTTTTAAAAAATATTATAATACATTACAAAATAAATAATATTATTTATTCATTGAAAAATAATAATATTTCTTAATCAGCATTTGCTATTATTATCATACATATGCAGAAAACGGCAAAAGCCAAAAAATCTTTCACATGGCCTAGTTGTCTTGTTTATTTTATTTTATTAATATTATTGTTATTTTTTTATATATATTTTTTTAAAATTTCTCCAACTACATAAAGATACAGAGTGCGAAATCTTCTATTAATCCAGACTGCATATAGTAAGAACCAATACAAAATATAATGTTATCTAACTCGAGATGAAAAGTATGTAGCTGAAATTTGATTGCATTTGATGTAAAAACTCGAGATGTTAAATGAAATGAACTGTTCGTAAATTCTGTATGACTCGACTCAGCACAGTCAGTGTTCAAGCTTAGCTCAATTCAACTTAATTAATAAACAAGTCAAACTCAAACTCGAGGCTCATTTAATTTAAGGGCCAAGCTCAGCTCCATAAGTCTAATACATAGAAGATTTTACGTAATTTTAGGACATTGTAACATAATTTAGATTGTTAAAATCAATCAGCAAGTCGAATCGAGCTCATTTATCAGTTGAATTCGATAAGGACTCAAGCTCGAACCCGAGAATAAGAAAATCAAGCTCAGTTCCACTCATTTATACAAGTCTTAGAAAGAACCATGGATTTTACAATTTTACCACTTTTACTTGGTACTGAATATGGTGATAATGAAAAAAAATAAAATAAAAAATTACTTATGTAAATACAGCTCCAATCACAACTAGATGACCTGTAGATTCTAAACATAATATATTAGGTCAAATATTAATTATATAACTTGACCCCAATTTATTTATTTATTTATTTTTTCTTTCTTCACCAAAAAGTAGAGAGAGCTTTATCAGGCAACTCAAGGTTACTTGTGATTGCCAAAATAATGTGTGAAAAGGAAAAGTTCACTGTGTCTGTGTGGCTCCGTTCTTCCTGAATGCTGATGAATTCCAGCTAAAAGGATACAAAAACCAAAACAAAAATGTTTTCTGTTTTTGGTCACTGTCATAATCTCTTCTGCAACACCATTAACCCATAATTGTTGTTTCCTTCTTGTTCACCTCGTTCAGCTCCCCACTCAGTTGGCAACACTTAGCAAGATTCGTTTTTTATCCCAAAATCTCATCAGAACATCAAGATTTTCCTATCACCCCATCATTCAAAATCGAAATTTCCTATCTTTCCAAGTAAATTCAACCAATTACAGACTTTTGCAGCTATGGGTTTTGAAGGAGCTCGAGTCTTCATCTTCCTGTTCCTCTGCTCCGCGGCGGCAGCAGCTAATCCTGCACTCCTCAACTGTACGGACACCACCCGCCTGTGCACGTCCTTTCTAGCCTTCAAGCCCACTTCGAACCAAACCCTACCCGTGATTCAGAGCATGTTTGATGTCTTGCAAAAGGACATCACAGTTGAAGGCAACGGCAGAGATTACATTTTCGTGAAAAAGAACTGTTCTTGCGCCGTGGGCTTGAGAGCGTACTTGACGAACACGACCTTCACGGTGAGGACTGATAATGGGTCAGTTTATGATCTGGTGATGGATTCGTATGATGGGCTGGCCTATTTCCCTTCGAATTACACGAGGCCCGCTAGGCGAGGCTCGGTGGTGGCTCTGAAGCTCGTGTGTGGCTGCTCCAGTGGGCTTTGGAATTATCTGATGAGCTATGTGATGCAGGATGGGGATAGTGTGGAGTCTTTGGCTAGTAGATTTGGGGTTAGTATGGATAGTATTGTGGCAGTTAACGGGCTTCCCGGCCCGGATAATGTGACTGTTGGGTCTCTGTATTATATACCATTGAATTCTGGTATGATTTTTTATTTTTTATTTCCTTTTTTTAACTGTTTATGTAGGCTAGTTTGGAATTGGATATGTGGGGGTGTTTATAGGTTCTAAGTTATTTTGGTGTTGACTTGTGGATGTGAGCAGCTCTTGGTGTGGGTAATTATGTTTGGGATTGGATTAATTATTTTTCCTTTATGTTAGTTATGATTATCTGAGGGAAACTGGTTTGTTGAAATTTTGAGGATGAGAAGGAAAATAAAAATGAATCTTTGGTGTTTTTGTTGCTGTTTGGTCTGTAGTTTTTGATATTCTATCTTGTTTCAGTTCCTGGCAAGCCTTATCCCATAAGAAACGACACGCTCCCTGTTCCAGCTCCAGCGCCATCTGCTGATAACTTCGTGGGTATGTAAGGCTTTTCTTTTAGCGTTTTGCCTTGATTATACCTGTGTTCTTTATTATCCATTGCTAACAGTAGTGGAGTTAATCAAATTGTTGCAAATCGATCCACTTAATTTTTGAATAGCTCAGCAAGGATCACTTCAGGTGAAATGTTGGTTTAAAGTACCCTCACTACGTGTGCATGAGCAGCAAATTTAAACTGATATGATTATAATATTGGGACTGTATGCATTTACTTAACAAAAGTGATCATCGGATTTTGGCTGGAAAAAAAGGGTAGTGTGAAGTGTATTACTCACTGCTAATTTTCTGTTTATGGTTCTGCATAATTTGTATCATAATCTCAAGGAAAGCTGTGCCGTATTAATTCTTGTTCCGCTTCAGGCTTAACCTTTTCAAACAAACAAAAAACTCGTTTACGGCCGACTTACCAGACTTTCTCAATTGATCAAATCAGCTTTTAGCCTCTATCTGCATACATTTATTTTTTACCTACCTAAGTTTCTTACAAACACTTAGTGTATATATTATTTATTCATGAATGAAAATCTGCGTTAATACTTCTCAGCAGCCAATCACGTGGGCCACAAGACTCGCATACCTTACTGGTGGATCATTGGAAGTCTTGCTGGCGGTTTAGCTGTTATTTTTGTTTTGGTGCTTCTTTTTATTTCTTTAAGGTCATCCGGCTGCCTCAGACGAGCCCAAGAAAATCAGTCAAAGAATTCTGATGGAAAAATTTCGCACAAATTCCATATTTTACGGAACACTAGCTTTTGCTGCGCCTCACGAAGGTCTAGGGAATGGGACCACCCGAGGGGGGAATCTAGTAACCGACACCTCCCGACAGGTTTTTTACGAAATTTGGTTGTGCGTTAATGATCGAAATTAACGACCAAACTACTGTATTTCTTAGATAATAAATATCGTGCTTAAAGTTACAATTGGCGATCATTCTTCAAATTCGTTGCGCTTTTTTCAGAATAATAGTGACTTTATAGTTTATAGTAAAAGGTAGAAACAATTAAGGCAATTCTGTTTTGTTGCTTTAGAAGAGTAGTTTTGACAGTGATATTTAACTCCAGCTTTCTTTCTTTCTTTCTTCATCTCCTGGTAATTTTAGCTTTGTCTTATCTGCCTTGATTTCGGCAGTTATCAGGACTGATGTTTTTGACGTGGAAAAACCCGTGGTTTTCGCATATGAAGATATATTATCTGCAACAGATGGGTTTTCTGATTCTAATCTTTTGGGGCATGGAACCTACGGTTCCGTATATTATGGCCTTCTTCAAGAGCAGGTTTGGTTTTGCAACTGTCATCAAATAACCGAGTTTAATAATTTTTTTTTTTCATGAAAAAAAATATTAATGAATGAAAATTTCAGGAAGTCGCCATAAAGAAGATGACAGCCACAAAAACTAAAGAGTTTATGGCAGAGATGAAAGTTCTCTGCAAAGTTCACCACACCAATTTGGTAAATGCCGAAAACAGCTAGCGATTTCGGCTTTTCTTTCTATTTAAAATCTAACCTTATATTTCTGAATAAATTTAAGTAAATGTATAATTTTTTTTTTTTAATTTTTTGATTTCAAAGGTAGAGTTGATCGGTTATGCAGCTAGTGGGGACGAACTATTTCTCATATATGAATTTGCTCAAAAGGGCCCTCTCAGGAATCACTTGCATGATCCCCAAAGCAAAGGTTTAATGTTCACACACCTTCATGTGATAATTGATATAAAAAGAAAATGTTCTTTGTAAGTGATTTACATTTTCTGTTGATATTTGAAGAGTTCTCTTCCATTTGTAGGTCATACTTCGTTATCATGGATAACGAGAGTTCAAATAGCTCTAGATGCTGCTAGAGGCCTTGAGTACATACACGAGCACACTAAACCTCATTATGTGCATCGTGATATTAAAACTAGCAATATTTTACTTGACGACAGCTTTAGAGGAAAGGTATGTATTGTAATTACCCTCAGTTGCACTATAACGCGATTAAAATTTCTTTATTTACATCTGATTTAATTTCACTTCTTCAGATATCGGATTTTGGTTTAGCGAAACTCGTTTTGACGACTAATGATGGTGAAGAGTCAGTCACCAGAGTAGTCGGAACATATGGATATCTAGCTCCAGAGTAAGTACTAAATACACTATGTTTTTGGCCAAAATTGCAATTTAATCCTTTAACTTCTTGATGTGACACTTTGATTCTTCAAAATGTTCTGCCTCTTAGAATAGTAATTTCATTTTCACCTCGTGTAATCTTCATAGGAACTCTGTGAGTAAATAAAATATTGGTAAACACCGACCATTTAGGAGTATGAACATGGGACTTGTAATCCCAAAAAATTGCACAAAGTCAAAACTCTTTTACAGCTAATGTTGCCAAAATTCATCATTTAAGAGATGAAAATTGCTAGCATCTTAAACTTCAAGGACCCATTGTTTCAAGTTAAGCTCTTTTTTCCCCCTAATGATTTGAAATGTTTGCTCTTTCTTTCTAGATACTTGAGAGATGGCCTTGCAACAATTAAAAGTGATGTTTATGCATTTGGTGTGGTGCTTTTCGAGATGATATCCGGGAAGGAGGCGATGACGAGAACTGCCGAAAGACGCTCGTTGGTATCAATTGTAAGTCGTGCCAATGATTATTTTCAACTGAAATAAACATACAGATGGACTTTATTATGTGGATTTTTTAAATGGTGTTCAAACTGCTCGAATTTTTCAGATGGTGGCAGCATTAAGGAACTCGCCCGATTTCATGACCATGACAAGCTTGAAAGATCACATTGATCCTAGTTTGATGGATTTGTATCCTCATGACTGTCTTTTCAAGGTATAAATAATTAAATATATACTGCAAATGAGAAAATTATGATTGGCTAAAGTGAATTAATAGTGTTATGTTGCCATCTATTTCACAGGTGGCTATGTTGGCAAAGCAATGTGTGGATGATGACCCGATTTTGAGGCCCGACATGAAACAGATCGTGATTTCACTTTCTCAGATCCTTTTGTCATCGGTCGAGTGGGAAGCTACTCTTGCTGGCAACAGCCAGATTTTCAGTGGGCTCGTGCAAGGAAGATAAACTTAGAATGTTCCTTGCAGGCACTTTTTGCTCTCTACATTTTCTTTTGTCATCGGTCGAGTGGGAAGCTACTCTTGCTGGCAACAGCAGATTTTCAGTGGGCTCGTGCAAGGAAAATAAACTTAGAATGTTCCTTGCAGGCACTTTTTGCTCTCTACATTTTCTTTACAAAGGCTTTTCATAGTTCTATTAATGTGTAGCTTCTGTGTATAGGGAACAGGTTTGTTATTCGCATGACCAACTGTCTAAAGTCTTCATCTTTTTTCCCCCTTTCATTTTCTGTTCTTTTTTTTTTTTCTTGGTTTTACTTTTATCACCTGATTAGTTCATTCAAGACTTAAACTGCTATACACAAAAATTTTGTATCTGGATCTTGGTTAGTACTTAGTAAATCTATAGTAATATAAAGAGTTTGTTGGAAAAATACAAAAATAGTATGTTTGACTTAAAAAATAAAATTTTGACTTACTATTTTAAGTAATAATTACTACTTTAAGTAATAACTATGTAGGTCCCACACATTAAATTAATTAGCATAAAACTATGGAATATATTTAATCACGTAATTAATCATTAAATCTCCTAGCATTTCGAACTTTGTTACAAAATTTTAATCGGTTTTTTTTAGATTTATTTCTTTCAGAAATTTCATAACTATCCATAAGGTGTTATTGATAATTTAAAAGTCTAAATTTGGTCCAAATTTAAAATGCAAATAAATAATTATACTTAAGTTACAGTCAATATTATTTTGAACATAAATAGAATAATAATTATTTATAGTTTAATAAATTACTCAACTACTTATATTTTTTACTTGGACAGTTTATACAAAAATAAATATCATTTAATTAATGAAACAATATAAATTTTAATACTATATTTTCACATAGATTTTTAAATATCTGATAAATTTTTACCAAAATAATTATTTTATGGAATTACATTGTATTCAAATCGAATTTCTAAACAAAAATTTTAAAGTGACACTTATTTTAAAAGGAATATAATATAATTTAATAAAAAATGCTACGGTCCCGTTACGGAACTATTCCATCGGGGTTTGTAACTGTTAGATCATCATGTAACTATCAGAAATAGTTGATCTAACGGTTACAAATCCCGATAGGATGGTTCCGTAACGGAATCGTAGCATCTCCCTAATTTATATTTAGTTATGTGCACCACACGAGTTGGGTACTAATTATAAATAAACATATTTTATATAATTTTGCATAATTTAAATTTCATATAAAATTTTAAATAAACTAATATAGGTAATTATATTACATATTGTTTCCATATATTTTAATTTATAAATAATTTTAAATGTACATTTTTAAATATAAATATTTATGAATATCTCTTACCCGTGCATCGCACGAGATTTGTACTAGTTATGAATAATGCTACAAAAATTTTACTGATTTTTATAGTAAATTTCTGCTCGTTGTATTCGACGGCCCGTATGGGGCCCGTTATCGTTTTCAGTCCTCCATTTTCTCTCCATTCGAGCTTCATGTTTAACCTAGCAGCCCTGTTTACGACATGATGAAATATAGCGACTTTTTATAGTAAAGAAAGATGGTTTTACAGTCATGTCTTGACATTGAAAAATGGTTAATAAGTTATGTGAGCACACTTGTTAGCAATAACCAAGTTTCATGTTCAAGAACACAAACCTCTCCTCAAACCTCAACCACACTCTTATGGTTTGTGAACTTAAGAGTGTTCTGACAAAATGGGAATAACTCAACTCCTTGACAATTTAAAAAGATTACAAATGATTTTTTATGCTACAAATTTTAATCCATGCAAAGTTTATAGTTATTGATTCAAACTTATTCAAACTCACAATGCTCTAATCAAGTTGTACAGATTTACTCTCTTGAAAAAGAACAAATACTTGGAAAAAAAAAAAGAACAAATACATATAGATATATATTTCAAAATTTCCAGTTAATTAGTTTTGGTTTTTCAACGTTGACAGAAAAAAAATAAAAATAAAAAAAATAAAATAAAAAATTATCTATTTATTTTCTGAAATATGATAGATAGAATGAAAAAAAGAGTGATTGTACAAATTACAAAATGCTATTTACTCAAAACTGCCCACTTTTATTACAACCGTGCTCTGCTCCAAACATTATTACTACCACATATATTTTGTCCACAGATTTTACCTCATTACTTGCATAGTGAGGCCAATATCCTACGAGGAGGGTCGAACGGTCTCCGAGAGTGAAGCACGGCCAAATTATCGATCAGCAACACATCCCCTTTCTTCCAAGGGAAACCTATGCTTTCCTCTTCCAATATTTTCAGGCAGTCGTATATTACATGGGCCGGTAATGGACTCCCATTCCCAAAAGTGACAGCCTTCTTGGGCTCGTTTCTTGCATCCTCCCAGCCCGTGTAGGCAGCCACCATGCTGTTGAACCAGATCTTTCGCTGCCTCCTCTCATCGTGCTTGATTGCAGGTACTGGGCCCATTATCGTCTTTACATTCCCATTCTCCATCCATTCAAGCTTCATGTTTAACTTATCGGCCCTGTTAAAGATTGGCGAAAATTTGAGTAGTTTTTCATTTTTTTGGCAATAATTTTTCGTGACAAGTAAGGATGAAGTTTTTTGGGATCAAATACTAGCACGGAGTGGAAGGTAATCAAAAATATAATTACAAGTTTGCAATAACAAGAGTTGTAAAAGGGATCAATCAAACCTTTCCTCAGCCACACTTTTATCTTCGGTCAAGAAAGTAGATTTCCAGCCACGGCCAATAGGGGAAGAAGGATCATCGTCTTCTCCCAAAACACGAGTATATATGAGTCCGTGCTTTTCTAATGTTTCCACAAAATCTGGGTATTTCTCCTTCATCCTCTCATACACGACGTGACTTAGGACAATAGGGGTTTCTCCCCCACTTGCAGGTTCTACCTCACAAAAGAAGAACAGCTTGGAAGGGTACTCAGGGACCTGATAAAAAACATAAACTGCATAGTCAGTTGAACTAGTGTTGATAATTTCTATTACTACTGATAACTAGCAGATAAATAACTAGCAGATAAATAACTAGCAGATAATTCCCACCTCATACAATCTCACAAAAGGAGAAAAATTTGTAGGAAACAATCATTCCATATGAAGTTTTCAAGAATTGATTAATTCAACATAGTAATCTTGAATATATAGGCTATAATAACATAACCATTGGAGTTGATTTATAGTACAAAAATGGTGTTACCTCAAAATGGTGTTTTTCCTATTAATTTAGCACAAAAAGATCAATGAACTCATGTATCTTCTACCAATTTCACAGAAGCACGAAATCAAGCTCGCTACACGCATGGACTCCATTAAATTGAGCACCAGCTAGAGAGAAAAGAAAAAAGGGGGATAGAAACTAGAGTTGCAAAATAACTGAAAAAAATAAATAATGAAATGAATTAGAGAAACCTGAGCCATCTCGTGATGGAAAGGGATTTTCTGGTCAGGCGGGGACTCGTTAGCAGTAAAAACACGGCCGACGACGTTGGTTCTCGGGGCGGCGCCGCCGACGTACGGGAGCTCCTCGTACCCAAACGCCTCGACGATGTCGTTGAAGTCCGAAGCAGTAGCCAGATTATCAAACCCCCGAAACAGAATAGCCCCGTGTTTTTGCAGAAGAAGGTCCAGCCATGGCCTCTGCTCCTTAACGGCCGCCGTTAAAATAGACGGACTATTGGGACCTACCGCCGTCGGGGAGAGCACGGCGGGGAAGCTAAGTCCGCCGTAGTTCTTCTGGTGTGGAATTGTGGTCTCGGCGAAGAATTTAGCAGTTGAGGGCATTTCCACTGTTAGTGGTGCTTATTGTGATCGGTACAGACTGCAGAGAAATTTCCCAATCACGAAGACGATTATGCAGAGAATTTGAACAATATTTATTTTATTTTGTTTTGTTTTATCCTAATTTTGATTTATCTTTTATGTTATTAATGTTTATGTGGACGTTAAAGGCAGCCAGATTCAGCTGTAGGCTGTTACCAGGCCCAACAAAATGAAAATGGGGAGTTTTTTTTTTTTTTTTTTTTTTTTTTTCCTGGAAATTGGTTCTAGAAAATAGTTGACTGAACTGCAAATATTCTTCAAGTCATGTAGCCCACAAATCCTTTGGCAACTTCATTAAGGGAGTTGGTGACGGTTCCATTTTCCCAGTTGATCGAGGTTGATGAGTCAAAATAATCAACTCACTTAGGTTGCCGGTCGAACCGCCTCATCTCGGTTGCGTGAGAGTTCGTACATTTCGATCGTCTTTGTCTTCAAGAACTGGATCGACCTGCAAAGCACTGGGGCGAGGCCCCGGTGTAGACGCTCTGACGCTCAAGTCAGAAAATAAATATTTTGATCGTGTACTTTTCGTAATCTTAAGAGCTTAGGATCAAAAAATAAACCTGGTCCCTTATTTATAAGAGATTTAATGACTTACTCCCCAAGATAATGAGTTTCCTTAACAAACAAGAACTCTGATACTCCTCAATAATTGTGTAGATATACACCAACTTTCATGAATATCTTTAACTAATACCGTGTATCACATAAATTAGCTCTGAGCTTCCTTAGACCGGCCTATCCGAGCTAACCGCTCAGGCTGGTCCACCGAGTTATTTTTCATGCTACATCATCTAGCCCCCCCACTCTAGACAAGCTTATGAATATGAGACTTGTCTAAGAGTAGAACAATCATGTCTCCCCCAAGTGTATATCGTAGGACTACAACGTGGGGGTCCTGGGCTCGTCTAGCCCCCACAGCCTGCCATGTCGGAGTTCTGCAGCCATCTGCATGCAACTATGGCTCTTGGGCTAACTTTGCACTTTCATTGCCTTTGTGGGCCCTGAATAACATGCTCGATGTTCTGCCACGTTAAAATGCTTGACATTCGCACTATCTGCTCGAGTTGTTACAATGACTCCCATATTTAAGGCTCGGGCACCGCTACGATGGGCTAATTACCCTTGATCTAGCTACAAATCAAAGGACCCGCTGCCGGGCTTCGAGAACTTGAGCAACGCCACGACAGACTTTTGCCCTAAATTTGGCTACGAGTCTGAGGACCCGCTGTCGATCTCATAGACACAACGATACTGGTGAGCTTATAAACACAATGATACTGCCGAGGACAACGATACTCCCGAGCTTATAAACACAACGACTATCATGCCCTAATGCGGCGACGAGTTTAACTTCATGTCGGGCTAAGATAGACTCGGTAGTCGTTCGAATTGGACTCTGCCGAGCTCCGCGAGCTCGAGCGACGTCTTCAACAGGCTTTCGCCCTATCTCGACCACCACCGAGTTCCACGAGCTCAAACGACGTCTCCAACAGGCTTTTGCCCTAAACTTGGCCACTACCGAGCTCGCGAGCTCGAGCAACGTATTCAACAGGCTTTCGCCCTATCTCGACCACTGTCGAGCAACATCTTCAACAGGCTTTCGCCCTATCTCGATCACTGTCGTGCTCCGCAAGCTCAAACGACGTCTCCAACAGACTTTTGCCCTAAATTTGGCCACTGTCGAGCTCCGCGAGCTTGAGCAACGTCTTCAATAGGCTTTCTCGTTCACCGTTGAGCTCCGCGAGCTCGAGCGATGTCTTCAGCAGGCTTTCCCGACCACCGCTGAGTTCCACGAGCTCGAGCGATGTCTTTAGCAGGCTTTCTCGACCACCGCTGAGCTCCGCGAGCTCGAGCGACATCTTTAGCAGGCTTTCTCGACCACCGCTGAGCTCCGCGAGCTCGAGCGATGTCTTTAGCAGGCTTTGCCGACCACCGTTGAGTTCCTCGAGCTCGAGCGATGTCTTTAGCAGGCTTTCTCAACCACCGCTGAACTCCGCGAGTTCGAGCGATGTCTTCAGCAGGCTTTCTCGAACACCGCTGAGCTCCACGAGCTTGAGCGATGTCTTCAACATGCTTTCTCGACCACCGCTGAGCTCCACGAGCTCGAGCGATGTCTTTAGCAGGCTTTCTCGACCACCGCTGAACTCCGCGAGCTCGAGCGATGTCTTCAGCAGGCTTTCTCGAACACTGCTGAGCTCCACGAGCTCGAGCGATGTCTTCAACATGCTTTCTCGACCAGAGCTCCACGAGCTCGAGCGATGTCTTCAGCAGGCGTTCGCCATATCTCGGGCACCGCCGCAGCAATCTTTCGGAACACGCATCTAGGCTACGAGTACGAGGACTCGCTCCCGAGCTCCGCGAGCTCGGGCAACGCCACAACAATCTTTCTGAAACGCATCTAGGCTACAAGTACGAGCACTCGCTCTCGAGCTCAGGCACCGTCGCAACAAGCTCTCCATGCTCTTTCGTGCACCTATGGCTCTAGGCCAACCCTGCACTTATCTTAGCATCACAAAAACACAATTCCAAAGATATGGAAACAATCGATATTTCTTCACAAACAATACACCAAAGAAACTTATCATGACATGTGAATGTGATCATCGAGACAAATAGAGAATAGCTTATGTTACCTGGAGTTGAAAATATCACTGCTGGCCTTTTAAGAAAACCATCGGGTGAAGAATAAATCATCGAACTGATCCGCATAAATAACCGGACCTCGAAGCGTTGTTGGTTTCTCCGACCGCTTCCCGGATCAAAGTGGAGCTCAAAAGGACTAGCTGGGTACTCCCAACTCCTCGCTATAAAATGTCGAAGCCTTCGTCGGGAACTTCTAATCTTGATACGTAAATACCAGTGCTCTCCTGTTAAATTGATGATTTCAAGAGCCGGTAGCCGGCGACAACCACCAATGATTTTTCGTGTACAACACCCTTCCGATTCACGAGGCCCGACAACGGCGAGCGGCAATTGGTCTGGGAATGACTGAGTTAAAGTGTTGCATATGATGGCAAATCGTGGTACTCCCTGCTCGCGTGTATCCTTTCTCACTTTAAAAAAATTCATCCTTGAGTAGAAACTTAAACCCGTAGCCTTTGCTCATTTCTGTTACTGATATTTGCTCTTTAGTGGGCCCTAGTACCAAACCCCATATCATTTACTTTCTTGGGTTAATTAACATATTAAGCCCAAAACCAACATATATATCACACTAGGCCAAGAGCAGCCCATTTAAGCCACAATTTGTTCTTTCGCGATCCTTCCCGGGCGTTTAACAATTGTGCCTGCACTATCTTACCTTACGACATCGCCTCTGGAAAAAAGACACCACAAAATCGACGACCACCCGCTGGCCACCACTGCCACCCACGCATCCTATACCATCCATCGACTTCCCAGTAGGTCAAGCACAAAACTATAGTCATCCTTTGCTCCAAAATTGTTCGTGTAAAAGCTCCCGACGGTCTTCGAGGCTCGCCTCCGCCACAGTTGTCCCCAGCCTCATACCAACCTCCGTCGGGGTTTGCCGTACTCTCAACAATTCTGCTCGGGTATCACAATTATTTTCCTTCCCAAAAGAATCACAAAATCCACCGGTCAAAACCCTGGGAGTCGATGCACGATCGCAAGTAAAGCTCTCTCGGTGCGGAATCCAGTCGCTGCAACTCGCTTTTCTCTCCAAAAGCTCGCCGTTGTTCCCTCTTCATTTTTTGCTTTCTCCCCACTCCTGCTTCTTGTTGTATTTCTTTTTCTCTGATTTTTTTTTATTAACAATTATCGACCCTTCATCTTTTGGGACCCTTAATACAGTGGCCCAACAAACATTTCTTTGCATGGCAATAGTTGAGCAGCCCATTAACTCAACGGTAAATGTATGTGGCCCAGCATCTGAACAGGCCCACCTTTGCAAATTTTGGCCAAATAGGCCCAACTCTACCCTTGAACCAAATAAAAAGTCGTCAGAGCATTGTCTTCTTCTCGTATCAGGTCTGGCAGCAGACCATATTTGTGGGCGGCGGCGATTGCCAATTTTCTTCTCTCGAGCGGCGGGCGATGATAAAATACCGCGACAAACAATCCATGGACCGACAACGATTAGCAGAAGGCCGTTGCTTATGGCACGTTCAACAATGGGCCTCGAGGGAAAAAACTTTGGACCACGATTTGGGTTCAGCCGATTCATCTTGACTGGACAAAATTCATCAGGATAGCTCCTGCCCTACTCCCTCTATTTAGATTGTTGGACGCGGTGGTTGGCCGGTCGGAGGAAGGCAGTGCAGGATGAGCGAAACTCGCCTGCTCGAACAGGTCACCGGCCGAAAAATAGAAATCCCGATGGGGCCGCCGCCGCTGCTGATGTCGCTCCGCCCGTCCTTTCTTGTACTTCAAACTAGTTGCCCCAATTTTGTAATTCACCTCAGCTCGTCTTTGACCAATTTGTTTTTTTTTTTTTCTGGAATTTTGGATCTTGGATCGTTCCCAGCGAATGGGTGTCGCAAGCATACAGAATTTTGATTGAATTTTTGCACGATACTTTCCTCTCTTTTTTTTTCTTTTCGTACAAACCCTCTTTATTTTTAGGTGCATAATTATTTCTTCTCTCTCTCTCTTTTTTTTTTTATGCGTAACGAGATACGGACCGATTTACCTTCTTCCGGTAGAAATCAGGCAAGTGTCCCCACAGACGACACCAATTTGATGAGTCAAAATAATCAACTCACTTAAGTTGCTGGTCAAACTGCCTCATCTCGGTTGCGTGAGAGTTCGTACATCTCGATTGCCTTCGTCTTCAAGAATTGGATCGACCTGCACCGGACTTCAAGAATTGGATCGACCTGCACCGGAGCGAGGCCCCGGTGTAGACGCTCCGACGCTCAAGTCAGAAAATAGATATTTTGATCGTGTACTTTTCGTAATCTTAAGAGCTTAGGATCAGAAAATAAACCTAGTCCCTTATTTATAAGGGATTTAATGACTTACTCCCCAAGATAATGAGTTTCCTTAACAAACAAGAACACTCTGATACTCCTCAATAATTGTGTAGATATACACCGACTTTCATGAATATCTTTAACTAATACCGCACATAAATTAGCTCTGAGCTTCCTTAGACCGGCCTATCCGAGCTAACCGCTCAGGCTGGTCCACCGAGTTATTTTTCATGCTACATCAGAGGCAATAAAATTCCGCTTCGTTCTCTTCTTGACCAAGACATGGTAAAACTTGGTACACTTGTCGCTCTTTACTTGAAAGTTGCATTTGACCTTTTGTTGGTAGAAGAGCTTTTCTGCTTGAAGTCTAAGGAAAGACATCTTAGACATACTGTCAGTGTCATTGGGGTGGTCATGGAGCGATTGTTGAGCTAGCTTGAGGGCACTCTTTGCTTCTTTTGCCGGAGATATGTGATAAGGATTCCTCATTAAGCACCTTAAACTTGCTCTTTAGGTTCTTCAACTTTGAGCTAAGTCGGTAATACCTCGTTCCCCCTTCTCCTTGGTTCCAAGTATCTTGGACACATGGCAAAAAGTTCTCATAATCCGTCCACATATTAAAGAAACGCCAAGGAGTCCCACTAGTACTCCTAGCCTCAAAGATAGTCACGATACAAGAGGAGTGATCGGAGATACTCGGTGCAAGAAAATTTGCATGAAAAAAGAAGTCGGCATTCTCCCAATTTGAATCCACCATAGGTCTATCAAGCCTAGACCAAACATGATTGTTGGCAGTGGCGAAACCAGCCGGTCATCCTGGGGAGGGCCCAATTTGTCGCGGCGCACCACCCCCACTCCGGCCATCCCGCGGCGCACCACCCCCACTCCGGCATCGGAAGGGCGCTCAAAGGTCTTTTGTGGACGCTCTAAAAAATTTTCGCAGGATATAAAGGAATACTCTAGAGATTTTTCTAAAAATCAAACTAGTCCGGAATTAAACTGGTATACTTAAACTGAATTGTTTTAACTCGAAAAATACCCGAATTTATACTAATAAAAATCTCGGACGCAATTATAATAATAATAAAAAATTATACCTCCTTTCAAATAGACGAAAAGCTGAAAAAATTGAGAAAACGAAGCCTCAAACGATCGAACTCGTCCTCGACAAATTTTCTCCTTTTGATGATACTATTTAACGCAGAAATTCAAACTCCCATAATAAATGCTCAAAACTCCGAAACATGCGAAATTTGTCCGTATGGAATCATGTTTGAATTGTCTACACGCTCCAACTCAATTCTCGTTAAACCGAGGTCACACGCAACCTTACGAAACCCCGCAAAACGGCTTTTTATTCTTCTAATTATGCGCACTCGACTTCGAGCTTCGCAAAATAAATGCTCCAAACTTCGAAACGTGAAATAAATTTTACGAACGGCTTCTACTGTTCTCGTGCTTTCAAGAAAGTACTCCCGCTAATTTTCAGCACGCCTAACGAGGGCCGACGGTTACCCGAAGTCTAGACATGAAAATGACAATGAAATCACCGCCACTGCCATTTTTCTCTCAACTTCGGGCTACCCAAAATAAATTGTCGAGACCTCAAAATTATAAATCGATGCCACCAATGCACTCTTCGCTTCCCGTACTTTCATAAAAGTATTTTTTGGTAATGATCGACTCGGTTTTTGAGTCCCGTCGGTACACCGCAAGTCGGCTAATTAACCAACTCAAAATATAATAAAAATGAAAAAATTATTAAATTCTGCTGTTGTTATAGTTTTCCTTGTTCCGAAACCAGGATCCCGTTTCGGGGAAGACCCAATTTGTCTTTAAAAAAATTTTCACGACAAAACCGGTGGCGCCCCTCTGCCCATGTATGTACCGCATGAAACCGGGGAGGGCCCAACATGCGCACTCAAAGGAAAATCTTCCAGTTTCTGCAAAATCCTCCACCCCTAGTTTAATTTTTTTTTTTTGGAGGGGCCGACGCCTCTCCGACCCCCCAAGTGCTTTCGCCCCTGATTGTTGGTCCAAGTGTGAAAGAAACCACTCGAAAGTATATCCGACAACCCCAAGGTAACACATACATCAATAAAATCCATTGTGTCCCGACTAGTGACTCTCTCCCCGTTAATTCTCTCATCCGGTTTGAGGATAGCATTAAAGTCCCCAAAAAGCAACCAAGGTAGAGAAATCCTCCCATGAGAGGCTTTGAGCGAATGCCAAAGGAATTTCCGATCCCCTCGCATCCATAAATAAAGCTAGCAACAAATGAGTGGTTACCAAACCTTACAATGGATTGTAGCAAAAATGACTTGTGTCAAGATGTCTCCCACTATGAGGTCAACTCTCGTAGGATTCCAAAGAATGACGATGCGCCCACGATCGTTTACCTCAAAGTTGTCACCAAAAGACCAACCCGACAACCTTCTTAGTTTATATATTGATATGATTGGTCTCTTTTCTTCCATCGGATCTTATTTTACTAATGAACTACTTTCATTATTAAATAATAAAAATAAGTGAAGAATAAAATAATAACAATAAACAATAAATATTATAATTTTTTTTTTTTCAAATTATGATGAATTTTCTTCATATCAAATTGAAGACTTTATATACATAATTTTAGGATGAAACCCATTAAAATCCATTTACATCCACTAAAGCACGTCCGTAAGACCGCACCCGTCAAACCCACTTTCTTCAAGTAGAAAGTGAAAATAAATAGAGAGAAATGGAGATGAAAATTGCAAGAATCTTTACACAATTCATGTCACACAGTTGTATTTTTAGCAACATAATGCTACAAATTTAATAATAAATAGTAATAATAATTTTCCTGAAACCCCTTATAAAACCCTCCATCCGCAATACTCTTACCAATTACCATTATATACTCTGCACAAACAGCCTCACAGACACACACAAGCACAACCACCACCATGGACGACGTTTCTCATCCATGGATGAAGCATATCGACTTGTACATTGATGGCGGCAATCAAACACAACAGGTTTCTCCTTTTTTCTCCACTTATTGCTTTATTTCAAGTTCATGTTCCATTGCAGCTCTATACTACCTTGAGTTGTGGAGTGGCGTCAGTAATATTCTATGCTGCGGATTCGAATTACAGGCTGCGAGCGTGGACGCGATTGCCACCTTGCTGAAGAATGATTCGATAACTCTAGAAGATATGGTAAGTTGTAATGCTTTTTTTTTTTTTTCTTATTCCAATTTATTTGTCGAATTTATTTCGATTATATGAGATTTTTCTGCTCAAATATTTAGTTTCTGAAAAAGTTTGGAACTTGATTTTAGAAAACAAAAAAAATAAAATTGTTAGTGTACAATGTGTGTGTGTGCGTGCACAGGTTAGGGCAATGAAGGTGGATTTGACTTCTGCGCTTGACACACGTCGCTATAGAGGTACTTATGTCTCCGTAAAATCACTACTTTTCTATTTATTTTTATCGGTTGGCTATGATATTGATCTATTCCAGGATTTGTTCTGTGATGGTTTTCTGAGGTTCTCCTGATATATTGTTGTTATTTCATTACTAAGTTATTTCACTCTGTTCTCTCTGTGTGTGTGTGTGTGTTACTTGGAGCCCGGTTTAATGCTACCTAGATGTTACATTTGGCAAATTCCTCCTTAAGGTGGTAGGTATCGAGTTCTGGAGATACAAGTCTCTGACTATTAATCCATAGTGATTTATGGTTTTGGTCTCATTGAAAGATACAATCATGAATGTGACAGAATGCATTTCATGCGTTTGGCGAATATGAGTGTTCAAAGTGAATTATGGTTACATTGTGCTTATGTAATCTTTTCTAGGCTTGGACCTGAGTGCTTGTCTCTCCTTTGATATAGTTATTCCAGTAACCAAAGCTAATTCACGAGTCTTCATGTTATGCTGCGTTGGACATATGCGGCATACCTCATTCTGTTCATTATTTTTCTGTTTTATGCGTGGGAGTATTACTGTTATGACTTGATATTTCAGTAGGCTTGATGCATGATATTTTTCAGCTATGCTCTTCCTCGCTGAAGTTCTGGAATCTCTCTCATCAAAGCCCTTAAGCAGCACTTCAATTCATAGCCTTATAGTTTTCTTTGCAGAAAGACTGGTAAGTCTATTGACAGGCCTGCAGTTGTCCATTGTTTTAAGATTCACTCCAGTATTCTGAAAAACCCATCTCCGTTATCTTCAATGGATTTCAAAATATGAAATTAGGAGAGCACTGTTGTGTTGCAAGTTTTATTTTTCATGCATTATGTATTAGAAACATTAGTTTATATACTTGTTGTCTTATTTATTTATTTTTATATTGTGTTAAATCTTGGACCAATCTCACTCAAGAACTTGGCTCAACCCCTATGAACAAAAATAGGAACAGCCTTGATCGGGCTGCTAAATATTCGTCTATACCTCTGTAACTTAGTTATTTTACTTTATTATTGCTTTTGTTTCTAACAATATTCCCTTTGATATTCTTTAGATTATACACTAGAACTCTATTTATGTAGTTATTAAAGCCGGATAGTAGTTTATGTATTTTACGTATATCAGGCAGATTGGAAAGCATTACGTGGTGCCCTTGTTGGTTGCTTGGCCTTACTAAGGAGAAAAACTGATGTTGGAATAGTTACTAATCATGATGTGCTGGAAGTTACTCGCTCTTTTCTAGAAAATCTTAGGCTGCAGTCCATGGCTCAATATGAGAGGAAGGTAAAAACTTGGTACGATCCCAGTGACACTGATAATTTTGCCTATCATTTTAAACATCTTTAAATAAATCTATTTCCAATCTTGAAATTCTTTGCAGCTAAGCTTGCAAGTCATCGAATGCTTATTAGATCGTTACTACGACGCACTTGTTGATTTGGTAAGCTAATGTTTACTTCTCTGTCTATTCTTAGAATTTTGTCTTAACTTTATTATTATTGTTATAAAACAGAACAGTTAATATTTTAATATGACAATGTTATCTGGAGTTATAGTTTTTAACATCATGTAAATTGAATGCTTTCCGAATGAGTTTTTGTCGAGTTACCATGCCTTTTTCTGTGGACTGGTAACAGGGTGGCACCATGTTAAATGATCATCTTGTATTTTATTTAACTCTTATCGTTAACAAAGATTTTAAGTTTGTCTTAATTCTATTTTTCGTAGGGAGATAACCTTTTGTATGGATTCTGTGAAGCTATTGATGGGGAAAGAGATCCTGAGTGCTTACTGCTCATATTCCGTATGGTGGCAAGGCTTGCACAATTATATCCTGCTAATTTAGAAGATTATGCCGAGGAGCTATTTGGAATTATAGGTGATTACTTCCCCATTAACTTTACACATGTAAGTTCTCCAAATTCTGCCCTTCTTTGTTTTTATGTAGTTTGTGTCTCTGGTTACTGGTGATGGCCTCTTGTGGCACTATGCCTTACGCTTCATATCTCAAGTAAATTTGAGGTGTGGTTCGATGAACTTTTTGACATGTAATGAATTTTTATGTGTCAAAATAAATTAGAGCAGATAGACTGATGCACCTGCTGAGAAGTTGATTGGGCAGATCCTGGTAGAAAGACTAAACTGGAAATAACGTAAAATTTATCTGCATTACTCTTTGACCAGAATTTTAATTTCTGTGGTTTAACAACGAACGGCATATATCAGACTATCAGAGTTGGAAAAAGTAACATACTTACAACTTAACCAGCGCAGTACAGGTTAAAAAAAGTTTAAAAAGAAAAAGAAGGTTGAGCAATGTATGCTACTGAACCAGAATAGTATAGAATTAGGTATTGTTAAGTTGAGATAAATGTGGCGGAGATATATGCTTGGAGTTAGAATGCTACTTTTTGTACTGCACTCTTTCAAGTTTCCACACTAATTTGGCTTTCAATGTCATTTGACTAGCCGACAGCTGAGGCAAATGATGCGAAAAGAGAGGAGCTCTCCAGGGCATTAATGGTATGTAATTTGCTTCAAATTGCGATAATACTTTAATCTAGCTATAGTCAGAAAAACATTATGCTCTTGTGTGGGTCCTTCCTGTTGTGTATTCTAAAGATTATGCGTCAGATTATTCACTATGGCTCCATTCTGTTAATATGTTGTCTCAGGCGTATTTACTTGGAGTCTCTTTATCATTTTGACTACAAATAAACTATAATGAATTGAATTGGCTACTATAGTTCTGATTTCGAAGCTTTTGCATATGTAACCAACAGGATTAAGAAAATAGTGAATACCTGCCAATTTTTGTCTTGGTACATTTCAGATGGTTGCAAGTGTTTCTAGATATACTTAACATAATTACGGAAAGTTGTAACAGATCCTTGTCAACTAAGTTGATAATATTTTTAAATTTCTTATATATATATATATATATATATATTTTGTCTATCAGGTTGCATTTGGTTCTACCGATCTTTATGAACCATTTGCTATCCCATTGCTGCTAGAAAAATTGTCTTCTTCTCTACCCTCGACTAAGGTCAGTGCCTATCCATTCTGATTATGTTTCTCTTATGTCCTCCTTTTGATTTTATGTCGGTTATATATTATTTGGAATCTTTTTATTGAAAGAATAGTATCTTTTGTATTCAGGTGGAGTCGTTCAAGTTTCTTACCTATTGCATTGCAACATATTCAAGGGACAGGATATGTAATCATGCTAAAATACTGTGGTCCATTATAAAAGATGAAACATATGTTTCGCCCCAGTCTACTCTATCTAAGGATTTTGAGTCCATGGGTCAAATGACTTTTCGGGAAAGTGATGTTATGAATCAAGCTTTTATCCTTCTCCAAGAAATTATTCGACGTTGTGATGATTCAATTAAATTTATCATACACGACAACGACATTAATGTGTTTGTGAACTCCCTGAATGAGTACAAAGAGTTTGATGCTATTCCATTGCAAGTCAAACAGAGATTACATGCAGTTGGTCGTATAATGTCAACCTGTGCCGAAACCTCTGTTGCATCATGTGATAAGGTCATTAAAAGTTTCTTTCCACTCCTAATGAGTGGTTTGGAGATTTCAGTTGGAGATAGTGTTTGTCCAGTCCAACTGAGCTTTGGGGCCCTTTATCTATGCATACAACTTCTTGCATCATGCAGATACTTGACTGTGTCTCTTGAAAATTGCGGATCAACCAGTGACTTCTCAAATTGGATATGGCCTGTCATGGTTAGCAATTTCTCTAAACCTCTGGTGGAGGCCTTCATTTCCATCTTACGACCAAATGTCGCTGATAACTCTCAAAGCCATTACGTGCACTTAGGAGGTAATTACTCCTCCCTTCAGATAGTTGCTTGGCAATTATGGGCTTCACGTCGTTAGTTAGCAAATTGTACATTTTGGAATGGTATTCATTTCATACTAAATCATCACAAGCTCTGTCCAGAAATAAAGAATATAGATGCAACACCAATTAACTGACAAGTAAAGGAAGAAGTTGAAGAAAGTAGATAATCTATATATATATTAAAAGACAGCAAAGATATTTCTGCCCATCTTCTGTTACTGAATATGGACATGTTAGAGTTATATTCAAACATGACTCGTGTTATTTGATCTGTATTTATGTGTGATTTTTAATTATTATCAATTTATGGTTTACCATTTGACACCCATATGGTGAAAATAAAGAGTAATGCTATGTGTACATAATAAACGTACATAGAGTTGTACATAACACTCACATGGAGTGGGGTCCATTTAATTTTTAATTTTGGATGGGTCCCACTCAATGTGAGTGTTATGTACACCCCTATGTACAATATTATGTACATATAGCATTACTCGAAAATAAATTATACCATTATATGTTGCATTAATTTATAGAACAGTTTTCTAAAGAATAGATTAATTTATTGTTGTGTGTTTATATGGTTCATTTTATCTCATGTTTCTTACTGTGGCTGATATTTCCATTATTGCAATCAATTTAAAAATGGAATTATATTCATGATTGTCATCATTGAATAATACTTACTTCTTGTTATTTTATTTATTTATTTTTTTTTCGGAAGAATAACTCTTGGTTATAAATATATTATTTTTACCTGTACAATTTGTATTGTTATTCCAATACCTCCTGTGCTTTTCATGGAAAAAGTATTAGTCATGTTAATGGGGAATATAGCACTCTGAATTTTGGGGACTTCAGAAATATCTTTTAGTTTTCTTGCTAAGCCAATGTCTCAGTCTCTTTATTACATTTTATATTATATGAATGCTTAAAGTGAAGTCAATCTCATCTTGCTTTTGGGACATAGTTTATGGTAGTAATTTTGCCTTCAGAAGATTCATAGAGGAGGAAATAGGAACTGACCAAGTTAGCAATTTAATATGCAAGTTAATGACGAAGTATGATGGACTATATAACTATTGTGCTTGTTTTTCTTTCTTTTTGAGTCTATTTGCTCTGAAGGAAGTTTTTCATTGTGTACGTAGCAGTTTGATATCATTAATAGGTTATTAGTAAATTTCAGAAAGCTAACTGGCTTACATTATGCATGAATATAACTGCAGTTAAGGGACTGAAAGTGCTAGCTACATTTCCGGGCAGGTCTTCTCCACTATCCAAGTCCATATATGACAATATTCTGAGGAAACTTCTTGGCGTTGTTGCTTCTGATAGTGCCAACACATTCTTATGGACATTGGCTCTGAAGGCATTAGTAGATATTGGGCTTTCTATTGATGGCAGTCCAGACACAGAGAAAGCTGCGAGTTTTGAGAGTATTGTTGTGGAAAAGATTGTTTCCCTATTATCTTTCAATGATTTCACTATGCCTTCAGCAGTCAAATTGCATGCAGCTTTCGAAATCGGAGCTACGAGGAAGGATTTTATGATGAGAGTTGTTAAAATGCTGGATGAGGCTATACGTACCAACTTTTCTGAAGCTTATGTATGCATTCTATTTGAATTTTGTCATACATTTGGTGAAAATTCTCATTTCGAATTGTAACATTTTGGAATTTGTGTATATCATTGCATCACTGTCACTAGCCCATGTTGTGCAACTATTTCATAGATATATTTTCTGTACATTCATGCGCATTCCATGAAGATTATTTATGAAGAAAATTGAGTTTCAACTGAATGAAGAATTTAGTTTTCACTGTATAGCAACCACTTCCCACCTTCTTTTCCTACAAGTTTCTCATGGCTCCATTTTGATTTGTAATTTGCATTATATTGATGCAAGCTGATTCCCTATAACCATACAGAATCATGGGAATCCCGAGTCTGGTAAACTGATGGTCAATATTCTGGACACTTATTCTCGGAAGGTTTTTCCATGGTAAGCAGTCTTTCAGTAATTTGCATCTTCCCTCATTTCATTATAATTTGTTTTTTCCTTGATTCAAGTCTAGCATCCATAGCATTCAGGATTTTGTAATACCAAGTTTCTTCAGTTATTAAGATTCTGTAAATTCGGGTTAAGCGGTCTTATTGTTCTTCATTACATGTTCAATTTCACCATCAACTTCCTCTGAACATACATATTCTTGAAATGCCCCAGGTTTTTTGAGTTCGGTGGTCTTGAGGAAGTTTCACTGAATTTTGCTCTTGTTATCTGGGACAAGATAGAAGATATGAGGACCTTATACCACAATCGTCCAGATATTGCAAGCGTAAGATACAGTTGGCTATTATTTGATTCTCCAGCCTATTTGTTGGTTCTTCCTATAACAACATAACATGTTTTCAGGATGTTCTTGGTGCAACAATGATCACTATGAAGAAGGCTGTTGGTGGTTGTTCCAAGGAAAGCCAGGACATAATTGTCAAGAAAGCTTACGGAATTGTCTTTTCAATGGAGGAAGTTTCTCACCAAGCTTACACCTTAGGCGCCTCTTCTGGAAGCAATGAGTGGCTCACCTCATTATTCGCATCTGTTGTTATCGCTCTCCGTCCAGAAGCAAGCATCCCCAACGGGGAGAAGATTTCACGTCTGTTCATTACAGGCATTCTCAACGGCCATGTCCCATCAGCTCATGCCTTGGGTTCCTTAGTCAATAAGCTACCTGTGGATATCACGAGCATGGGCTCATCAGATTGTTTTAGTCTGAACGAGCTGGACATGATACTTTCCAGCTTCATAAAGACCTCTGGTGATGATAGCTACAAAATTACTTTTGACTGTTTGAGACAAAATGCCCTGAAAACAGAAGTGGAGATCAATGCCATTATTGGATTGGCCTGGATCGGGAAAGGCCTGCTAATGAGGGGTCATGAGAAGGTGAAAGACGTGACAATGGCTTTGCTGAGTTTCGTGATGCAGGGTGGTACAGCCGAGGTGCTTGATAGGGGGGATTATATTCGGCTGATGATGTCTGCAGGGGATGCATTTCGTGTGATTATGGGAGATTCTGAAGAATGTCTGAACCGGATGTGCCATGCTATTGCACGGCCACTTTACAAGCAACGGTTTTTCAGCACAGTTGTGCCAATTTTGTCATCTTTGGTGATGAAAGCTGAATCATCAATTGTAAGGTGCGTATACAGATGTTTCTTTGTCCTTGAAAAATGTATTCCAACTGAATTTGCGTCGACTGAGAAATTCTATACAATATGTAGTAGCCCAAAAAAAATAAAAAAAGGAAAATGGAAAATTTGTTCCCCGGTTCATCGATGCACATGCTCAGTTGGCGTCTCATATCCCACCGCTGCTTGTATATCTGACTTTATTCACTCCCACCCTCAGGTTTCTCTTTTGTAGGATTTAGTTTGTAGTCACCTTTTGAGGGATATTTCTTTTTTTCTTCATCTCCTAAAGTTTAGCCCGGCAGCAAACCTATATACGTCTGTTTTACATGTTTGTTCTTTGAAGTATGGTTTGATTTGTACTCATAGTCATAACTCATAATTAATTACAATCACTTCTTTTGCTAAAAGTCCTGTCTCAAGCAATTTCATTGTCAAGTTTGAAGTTTTGAATGTGACTAAATTATCTATAGCTTTGTCATGTATAGCATGAGATTTGGCCAATTTCATTTCCATACTAGACTCCTGGAAAAATAAAAAATCTGAGGGAAAAGATTGAATTATTTGTTATCTTCAACTGAATAAGATAATCAAGACTAGTGGCCATAAGTTTGCTTATCACTCAGTGAACAGTTGTCTGTTGTACGATTTGATTTAGTCTTGTGATGATCATGTGTGGAGGGGTTGGTTTGTGTGCCTTCTGATATAACAAGGAAATCTGTTTTCATAAAAATGATTTTACAGGGGTAATCTACATGAACTAAAAGGTGGTAGAGATCCCTATTATGTAAATTGCTACAGCAATCACAGAGTTTCTACAAGTGATTGTTTGCTAGTTTTCTATAGATCCTGGTTAACAATAAATGTATTCCTATTTCTTGGTAGTGATATAGTTCCATATCCATTTCAGATCTATGCTGTATAGAGCCTATGCACATGTTATCTCAGATACTCCTCTGAGTGCTGTTTTGGTAGATGCCCGAAAGGTTAGTTAAGTAATCATAAAAGTTTGACAATATTTTTGGGTACTACTCATAAGTATGTAGCACACGCGCACACATATTTATTATGGAACAATGTTTAGACATGTATTTGCATGCAGGTGGTCCCTATGTTATCGAGCTGCTTGTGCACACTGATGAAGGATGTAGAAAACAAGGAAATCATCTACAAAGTTGTACTTGTCATATCCGGAATATTGATGGAGAAAAATGGTAAGAATGGTCAACATGTAATATTATGGATGAAGTTGATGGTTGAAAAATGAAATAATATGTTCAATGGAAACTGATAGAGTGAAAAGCTTCTCTTTTTATTGAACTGTTGTACTAATGTATATAGTTAATAGTTATACTCATCCTTTGTCGATACTTTCGAATTTTATTGTGCTACAGGGGAAGATGCTGCTGTAGAAAATGCACCCAACATTGTAGACCGACTCATTGAACTAGTAACATACCCTCATATGATGGTATTATTTTTCATTCTCAAGTACTGTGACTTCCTAATTCTATTTTGTACGCGGAGTGGTGAGTGTATTTCTCCAAATCTACCTGTCAAATGAGCTGGCATGACCAATTACTACATCTACCTGGAATTCTTTGTTATTTGACATCATGGTACCTTAAAGTAATAGTTTCTGTTAGAAGTTACGTTTGTCCCACATCGATTTGTTAGTGGGCTGTTATTGTGTATAAGTGTGTTGGGCACCCCGTCCGTTTGAGTTAGCTTTGGGGTTGAGTTATACCCAAGCCCATTTATCAGTTTCCGTTCTCAGTTTTCCTGTATGGCTCTTTTTCTTAAGTGGTAACACGGATCCACTTTTTTCCCATCAAAACTCTACCTGTATTTCTCCTTCAGACTTGAGGGACTAGGTTAAGGAATTTTTATTAATATTCATTAAGATTTGGCAGCTCTTGGATATGATTTAAAAAATAATAATTTTGACTTTGTTTGTCCCTTAAATATATATACTTTTTTTTTTTTTTCCTTTTTTTTTTCTCACTCACATGTTATACTTAATAAATTAGTTTCACTGGCTTTGGCATTTTCTGATATGGGGAGAAATGTTATTCGTTTCTCAGGCAGTTCGAGAAACAGCACTACAGTGCCTTGTTGCTGTGTCTGAACTCCCCCATATAAGAATTTATCCCTTGAGAGCAAAGGTATGGTGACTCTTGCATACTATTGTTGTCTTTCAATTTGGGTTATTGATATCTGTGCTTAAGTGTCAAATTCCTCTGAATTCATAAACTGATATTCAAATGAGAAACTAACTATTTTAGTGTTTTTTTTTCTCTTTCTTTTTCTTTTTCGCCATTAACTGTATCTCGTGAAATTGACCAACTCACTCAAGAGTAACTGAATTAATAAATTATCACAATTCGCAAGTATCCCCTTTTTCTAACTTGTTTTAAAATATTTTACTATTGTTTTGCGATTTTTTATTTTTTTTTTCATTTCTTTCTTTTGTGTGTGGGTAGTAAAATTTTTCAGCTTATAATTTTGTAAGCACGTGTAATAGCTCAATTTCGGTTTCAAATGCGTTTTGTAATTGCTAGGTTCTGCAAGCCACAACAAAGGCACTTGATGATCCTAAGCGAATAGTTCGTATGGAGGCTGTTAAATGTCGGCATGCTTGGTATATTCCATTTTAGTATTCCAACTTTATTATAGTGTTTATATTATGGATGTAAAATCAGGCTTCATGTTGTTGATGCTTGTTTTCTCACATATAGGGCTACTGCTTGAGTTGCAACAGAAGTCTTCAGTACATTAAAAAGTACAAAACTCCAACCTATTATTAGCTGCTAAGATCAACTTTGTTTACTAGCTAACCATTTTCGCAGTATGTCGTGAAGAGCTGTAAACGAGCCGACTGAAGCTTGAATCCTGATACTCGAGCATTCGTTAACTACTCGAGTCTATGACCAAGCTCGAACAATCATTTATCAAAGTTAACGAGCTCAACTCAAGCCTTAACTCAGCTTGAACTCTTTATTCGTATGATGTTATAGAACAAGTGTCATTCTTTTCTGTTGTGATCATGTCATTCTTTTTCAGACCCTGTTGGAGATTTTCATGACGAGTATACTATTACTGAGAACGTTTTCCGGACCTGGAAATTGTACCTCGGCATGCACACTTTTGCCTGGAAATTTTCGTATATGTATTAATGTTAAAGCTCGTCTGGACGTGTTACGGAATTTGATACGCTCAGGAAGTATATACCTAACGTTCCGGGTCCCGAATAATTGTATGCAAAATCCACGCTGTCACAAATATGTATGTATACACCATGGAAGTACCTAGCGAATGTTCTTCATGTCGATATTCAGTCCAAAGGAGTGTGTATTTATTCACTGCTAAATGTTCGCCATATTAGAAATAATGTTTATTGGTTTTTATTAGTATTTCTGATATTCTAATTTGATGTTCATTTCATAAAATTTTCATTATTTTTGTTGTGGGATGTTTCTGTTGTGTGGAAATTCTGTTAGAATTACGTTAAAAAGATAATAAACAATTATTTATAAATAATAAACATTCAACTAATAACGAGGGCTCAATTAAATTAAACCAATATATATATATAAAGGTGCAATTCTTGAGAATTGAATGTGATGGTATTTGTGGTACTATCATATCAATACTCAATAGAGCTTTATCTTTGTATTATTGTGGTTTTTAAAAATTAATTCCTATTAAAAATTGCAACAACAAAAATGAAATATAGCATGCATACACAATTAATTAAAAATAGCATTTCCATTGTTCTCACATAAACATACATTATTATCTTTATACAATATTTACACACTAGTGGAATAGTGGTACACGCTTCTTAACGACTAGTTCTTATACTAACCAAATTCATGCATGATATAGGTCTAGTTGGGCTCATATTATAGGCCTTAGGCAGACCCCATTTTGGGCCGAGTTCTTAGGAGCCCATATTGACAGCTGGTCCAATAGCCCATACCTTTCGTTGGTATCTGGATTTCTGGTCTTCCATGGCGACAGTATACAGCTAAAGTCTGAACAAAGCGCGCACTTTTATCGAAGCTGTGGCCTCCTCTCAAGTACCCTTTGGTCTTCAAGATATCTTCTTTTGTACAGTCATGGCAGATTCGAACCCTAGCACCAGCGCTCTCAACGGTACCTTCTCTTTCCAAACTTTCCTTCTCCCAAATGCGTGCCGATTTCGGATTTCTCTCTCTCTCTCTCTCTCTCTCTCTCTCTCTCTTTTTTGCCGATCTTGAGTAATGAACTCAATTTATGAATTTGATGGCTGAATGATTAACATCCTCTAGCTAATTATCTGCAGTCATAAGATTTTAAGCTGGCTATTTTGTTGATAGCATTTTTTCTCCTACTGGGATCAAATTATGAGTTTGGGGCACTTGCTGTATAGAATATGCCTGGGATTGTTGTTGGTGTTCGTAATGTTTTCACTCTGTAATGTTAATTCCCAGTGGCAATTAGAGATGAATGTAGTTGAGAAGGTGAATGAAATTTGATTTCTTTTGGGTACCCTTTGCTAAAATGCTTATTTTAAGATGCTGATTTCTGGTGAAATTGTAACTTTTTCTGAAGTTTTGTGATAAATTTTACGATTTTGGTCTCAGGAAGTGTAGAAAATATGGGAGGCTCTAATAATAAAGCAGAGTCCTTGCGAGAAGATTCGCGTGCTCCGGTCTCAGAGGCTCAGCCCGAAGACATTGGTTATGTTTTCTTTTGTTCTTTAATCTCAACTTTAATCTTATCACAGTTGTCTGGATACAATGTCGATTAATATGCGTGCATGTTTACTGATAACAGAGAGAAAAGCCAGAGTTGATGCTATGTGGCAACAAATGAATAAAGGAGTTTCTCCAAAACCTCTAAAATCCATCTTGGAAAACAAAGGCTCGGCCGCCAATAAGTCTTCTCAGAATACTCCTGTGAAGAAATCATCAACCGTAAGGATTATTCACTCCGTCTTTTCAGTTAATTGTAAAAAGCTTATCTAGGGAAGATTAATTTGATATTTTAAAAATTTATATTAGTTTCCATTGCATGAAATGCATCTCATTAGGGGTATATTTGTTGAGAAAATATAATAAGAGCTTAAAAAAAAAAATTGAATCGTAATTGTATTATTTGTTTCTTTTGTCCTGGGTTAATTACTTAATTAGGTTAAATCTCAGGGGTAAATTTAATAATTAGCTATTTTTACTGAAATTCTGCTGTGAAGCTATATTGATTATGATTAATTACTTGCTCCTATCTTTCAGGGATGGATGAATTATCTAGGTTTAGGATCAAAGAAAGAGTCGCCTGCACAGGTACAGCTGGAAAACCGTCCGAGCATCACCCCAAATGGCGCCAGCGAGGATACGAAAAGGCTTGCTGCTGCTGCTCTTTCGGCTGTTAAGGATGCAGCTGCTTTGGCCACATTAGGAAGCGGGAAAGTCGAGGTACATATCTTAGGATATGAATGATTTCCCACAAATTCCACTTTCTAGTTATTTTTCTTTGTTAATTTTCTGTAGACTTTAATTTTGGAAAAAAAGGTGATCACGAATCGCCTGATAATGAACATTAGAATGAGAACTTGATGGTACTAGTTGTGATCGAAAAGTGAGAATGATTCGATTTTCTTTCATTTCTTGAGAAAAAAAAATGACTTTCACCTCCTAAGTCAGGTTAATAGGGTGTCACACACATTTGTCTCACATTGTCATGTGAAAAATTGAGGCTCATATGTTTTTCCAACAGATTAAGGAAGTAAGAGACTTTGCTGGCGAGGAAATCGAGGTGAAAAAACTAATAGATGCCGATTCTAAAGAGGCGGTTGAGAAAGGTAAAAGCAGCGGCACCCCTTGTGCAGTTGATGCTGTTCTTGAACAAATAAAAAAGAAACCCAAACTAAGTGTGCTGGACAAGACAAAGAAGGACTGGGGAGAATACAAGGATGAGAACAAAGGGCTCGAGGAGGAACTCGATGCGTATAAGAAGAGCTCCAACCAGTATTTGGACCGGGTCTCGTTTTTGCAACGGGCTGACTATCGTGAGTTTGAAAGGGAGAGGGATGCTCGTCTTGCCTCGCAGGCTAAGCGGAAAACGGACATGAGGGATGATTTATGATAGCGTGTTTTCTTTTCTTTCTTTTCTTTTTTTTTTTTCGAAATGGTCGAATGAATTTTGGAAATTTCGAAAAAAAAGGATAATATGTTATAATTTATCCAGAATTTTTTTTTTCCTTTCTTTCTTTTCTTTTCATTTCCTTGCTTACTAGCTAGGTGAGAAATATTTTCTGGAAGAACTTTCTCATGTTTGTTTGGTGAGCTAATTTTGAGGGAATATTGAGAACTTTTGAGTCCATTTGTTAAGATGAGAAGTAATAGGGATAACTGCAAAATTTACCCTTCAAGGTTGAATTGCAAATAGCACTCCGATTATTATGTTAAAATAAGGGGAAATGCAGAACCATTTCGTTGGGATTTGTAATCGTTAGATTATCATGTAACCGTCGTGGATAACTGGACCGTAGAATCTCCTTAAAATAAGATCACATGGTCTTTGTTTGAGATTTGTAATCGTCAGATCATTATGTAACCGTTGTGGATAATTGGACCGTAGAATCTCCCTGAAATAAGATCATATGGTCTTTGTTATATGACGAAAACAGAACACTGTGAAACAATTAAAATGAATCCAAACCGTATGTTAGACTAGGCCAAAAATTATAATATGCGAAAAATAGGAGCAAACAAATAATAAAACCGTATCCTAGTGCGTCTCTACAAAAACAAAACAAGAGGTCACGAAGGCCCAAGGCAGATGATGAATGTAACTAAACTGATCACACCTGCTTCGATTTCACGTTAATTTCTTCATTCTTGGATAATCCCCAAATATCGAAAATTTGAAAACCCCCACAAAAAAAAAAAAAAGAAAAAAAAAAATGAAAATTTGATTCAATTATTAATATTTTGTCTGTTTGGGTTGTTCTCAAGCCAAATATCGGAGCTTTATCTGTTTAATGACCTAAAAAAATAGTCCTTTTTTTTTTATTGAAACTTTTCTGAACTAAAAGGTGAGGAATTAGAGGGGTTCTTTAAACTGAGGCATAACTATCAGCAATGTTGCCCGTTTGCTCAGCGGCCACTAGCTGCTCATGCCACACAAAGGTCTGATTTTTTTACATATTATCTATTTATTCATTATATTGCTGGATTTGAACTTTTGATTCTTTTTAGTTTAAATTAGTTTGTTCGGTAAGATATAAATTTGTTTGATAGCTTAAATGTAAATATAGACTATTCCATTTGATTCTTGATAGTTCAATTACTTGTTTTTAATATGATAGATTACCCAGAAAAAAAAAAAAAAAAAAAATCATTTCTTCATGATTGAATATATGAGAGTGAAGCTTTTGATGGCTAATGGGTTCTTTATGGGCTGATTAAATTTTATGTTTTCATCAGGTTCTTGTTCCTGGGTTAAAATCCTTATCACCATATTCGAAGATATTTCATGTCAATGTCCATCTCGAAAAAGCCTCCTTTACAGCCCGGCCCGTCTTGTGTTTTTACTCGAACCACATTATTAATAGCCAAAACTATGTTGTCCCCATTTCCATGAAGAACGATGAATCATTGAATCTAGTTACCGACACGATTAACAAAACCGATTCACTATCGTCATTCGAAGGTTTGCCGGTCGACCCGCCTATAGTATCAAATCTACTGAATATCGATGATGGTTCCTTATCCGAACAGGAAAAAAGTATCGATGATATTATTTCGAGCATAAGTGAATCGACTTCAGGTTTAATTAGTGGAGGAGAAGATGCTTTGAATAGGTTACTTGATGATGTCACCTCAACTATGACAAATACTTTCACGAATGCAAATGAAGCTGTCGATCGTGCTGTTACAGAGATAGTCTCGTTTTTCAATAAATCTGGAGAGTCGGCTGGTAATAAGCTGTCTGGGGTGTCCAGCGAGTTACTAGAAGCTTCTGTTAAAGCAGGGACTATTGGACTTGATGTGATAAAAAGAACGATTGTTTTTATCGAGGATTCTTTTCTGGAAGGGGCGAAAAATGTTGGATATGCCTATGGTTCGGCCAAGGAATATCTGCCTTCGGATTTAAGAGAAGCACTTAATTTATCGGAAGAGAATGTTGCAAAAGTAGTTAATCCGGCTGGAAGTGCTTTTCAACAGGTCAGCTATAGCATGAAATGATTTAATTTATGATGGCTCGATTCTTGATTTTCTTATGTTTAGTAAATAATATTAATGTTCAGCTTCTAGCTTTGGTATTTGCTTAATTGATTGAAGTAGAATCTAAAATCAGAGGGAGGGGTACTTGAGATTTCTGATTTTTATGTTTTGGTTTGAACATAATTTTCGTCATTTTGTGCAAACTCGATTGACTTCAATATTTAATATATCATCATCTTATGCTCTTATAGGAAAAGACAGTCATAATTGAGACTTTTACGTGTTTGACCTTTTCGTTATTTGATACAAAGGTTTACAAGGCCGTGGAAGGATTTGAAGAAAGTCTCGGCTTAGACCCTAACGATCCACTTGTTCCAATTGTTCTTTTCATTGCACTCTCAGCCACTTTATGGTATAATCTTACTTCTTTTATTTTTTCTTGCCTTTTTCTTGTGCCTGCATTACCTCTTGAGACTAGTTTTGATCTCCTTACAAAAAATGGAAGTTATTACATTTATCATCAGATATGTGCAGGGGTTCTTACAGGATACTAAAGTACAGTGGATATGCTGGAGATTTGTCCCCTCAGCAAACTTACAAACTTTTACGAGGAAATGAAAATGCTGTGTTTGTTGACATTCGGCCCGAGGCAAGATACTGTAAAATTTTTCTACCCTACACTTTGATGGGGACAACATGAGATGAACTCTAAATGCTTTTCTTCACAGTTTGTTTCGTTTTGTGAATTTTTTATAGTTAGATTTTATGTTAAAGACCATGCTCAATCAATAGTGAGGTAGTGTTGCAAATTATTTACTGCCTATATTTTTATGGCTTAAAAGAATCTCAGGGAAAGAGATGGAGTTCCGGATCTTCGGAGGACAGCTCGATCTCGGTACATCAGCGTAGCACTACCCGAGGTTGTCTTTTGTTCGTTATTTTTAAGGTTTTTATATTTTAGTTACTTTCTTGTTGCTTTTCTTTTTCTTTTCTTGGCTTTCAATACAATGAAAACTGTATCGAGATTGTCGAGAAAATAAAATAAAATTATATTACAAGCTAGTGGTTAGATAAATAACAATTGGTTATATTTTTCTTTTAGCAATTTAATTTAATTCTACATAATTTTTTCGCAGCTTGACAGCTCGTTGAGAAAGTTGCTCAAGGGAGGGAGAGAAATTGAGGATGCATTGCTTGCTGCTGTTATACGCAACCTTAAAATTGTTGAAGTATGCGACGTGATCTTTTAAATTCTATAGCAAAACGTATTACTATTATACAAGCTTTTGAGATCATACTACTTTTTAGATAACGAGATGATATTTTTTCAAATTAATGTTCATATGTTCAGGACGGGTCTAAGGTTATAGTTGTGGATGCTGATGGGAATCGTTCCAAGGGTGTTGCTCGATCACTGAGAAAATATGGAACTAAGGCAAGTATATTTTAGCTAAAGCAAAATCCATTAGCAATTTCGATCTAGAATATTAAAATGTTAACATTTTCTTCTCCTTCTTCTTTTCATTTTTCCCCTAAAACCAGTTTAATAATGTAGCTCGTTTTTACGTCTCTCTCTTATTTTGGAAGTTACGCCTATTTATACTTTCTTCTTTCCCTTCTGCTGTTTTTTTTTTTTT